TTCACAATATTACAAGAATTTATTTCATCAATACAATTAATACATTTACTTATTAATCAAAGCATCTAAATCTCAATCTAATCAATTGTTGGTTTTTTATTTGTGCAAAATGACCAGAAAAACAGCCAAGTCTAGCTCTTCTAAGTCCAAGTCTAAAGCTTTGAAACCTTCTCAATCCACATCATGATCCATTGAACAAGCTGTTGGGATCTGCCAATGGCTCAAGCAGAGGTTTTTGCCAAGTGGAGAGATAGGACAGGCGGTCGCAGCTGTAGAACGGCTTGTGGTGGGTTTAGCCAAGAAGAAAAAAAGTTGCCAAGGTTTAAGCTTCAGTGAAGGTTGTATCTTTTTTAAACATGTGTTTTGCTCAATTCTTTTCTCTGAAACGTCCACCTCCCTGTTTTTCCTGTCCTCTCTCTCACTTATGTATCTATGATACTCTCACTTGCTTATCTGTGATACTTGTTTGAGAGTATGCTTTGTCTCATTGTTGTGTAAAGTAATGGTCATTTTGTTATGGCCTGCTTCAGGGGGCCTGACGTTGGGGACGGAGGGAAGGAGGAGGTGGTGACTATGATGTATGTTTATTGTAGTATGAGGAAAAGCGCAATACAAAGTGAAGCGCTATCTTAGTAAGAGGTTGAGGGTGGTACATGTCACAGATCCGTGAAACCCCTGTGATCCGTGATAGGATCATAACACTATCCCCCGTTTACGCTCAGGCTCCCTGTTCGCGGCCCTGCGTTCTTCCCCGGGGCTTGCAATAAAAAACCCGGTGGGAAAAAGCGTCGCCCCTCTCACATACGCCTTGACCTTCTATGTTCTTCTGCTGCCTTCGGGTATTTTGAATTAAACTCGTCGATCATCAATTTAGAGTTTGATACATTCCCCTCTGGCTCCCATGAGTCATCCGATCTTCCATATCCCTTCCAGCTAATCAGGTATTCAGTCTTCTTATTCCTAATACGTTTATCCAGGACGGCTTCGACTTCATATTCTTCTTCGCCGTCAATTTCTACGGGATACGGCGGTGCCTGTTGTCTCTCCTCAATCATATCTGGTGAATGCTTTTTTAAGACTGATACGTGAAACACGGGATGAACTTTACTCATACTTGTTGGCAATCTTAACTTATAGGCCGATGTCGATATCTTCTTCTCAATACTGAACGGGCCCAACCATCCATGGTCTAACTTTGCTGACGGTCTTGTTGTCGATATGTGGCGACTGCTGAGCCACACCTCGTCTCCAATGTTCCAATCTGGTGTAGGTCGAACTTTCTCATCATAATTCCGTTTCATACTATCCTGTGCTCGTAATAAGTTCTCTTTCAGCTCATTTTGAATCTCTTCGATGTTTCTTAGCCTTTCTTCCACTTCTGGTATACATCTTTCTCTCGATGGGATCCTGCCAAACAATAGGTCGTACCCCACATTCGCTTTGAACGGCGAGAATCCTGTGGACGTATGTGTGCTATTGTTGTACGCGAACTCGGCAAGCGGTAAGTGGTTAGTCCAGTCATCTTGCCTGTAACTCACAAAGTGACGCAGATAATGTTCTACGGCTTTATTAACGATCTCTGTCTGGCCGTCTGACTGTGGGTGGTATGCCGTCGAGGGATGTATGGCGATTCCTAGCTGTTGGTTCAAAGATTCAGTTAGTTTGGATACGAATACACTCCCTCTGTCCGATACGATTGACTTCGGTGCTCCGTGGAGCTTCCATACATTGGCCATCATCAAGTCAGCTAGTTCACTTGAGGACATCTCGGTAGTGCAAGCAATAAAGTGGCTCATCTTCGTTAATCTATCGACTACGGTGAGGATACAGTTCTTTCCCTTTGAGAGCGGTAAGTCAGTTATCAAATCATAACTAATATCCGTCCAAGGGCCTGCTGGCACAGGGAGCGGCTCGAGGGATCCGAAAGGCGATAAGCTTGAGGGTTTGACTCTTGTACACGAATCGCAGCCATCCACAAAGTCATTCACGTAAGTCTTCATCAGTTTCCACTTATACTGCCTTTGGACCAAGCTTAACGTCTTTGCCCTGCCTGGATGTCCCGCTAGGACGCTATCATGCCTACTCCGTAAGATCTCAAACTTCAAATAAAACAACTTTTTTTGCATCATAAACATGCATTAGAATGTCTCTAGAGCTGATGAACTCACCTCACATCCCTAAAGTGCCTCTGAAGGTGTTAGGCAGCCCAAAAATCGAAATTTGACTCATCTGGCCAAATCTGGCCAAGTCTCAGATTCATCTGTATGAATCTGAACCTGACTATTGTAAAGTCTTAAGATTCATCTGGCTACACAACCATCACTAAAGCCGTAGCAGATTGATCTGGCTACTCATCAGGCAGATTCATCTGTACATCACATTCACCACACTACTCTGTACAGTACATACATTACAGCTTGACTCGTTGCTCAACCACTGTACACACTGATCTACATATGTAATGAATATGGAATTTGATTGTTGTATCCAGGAAAAGATTTGGGGGTGATCTCATCTGGCCTCATCTGACCCTCATCAGCACAAAATTGACTTGCTACACATCCGCCATCTCATAATTCTCAAGGGGAATTCTCATCTGGGCTCATCTGCCATTCTCAATATAACATTCTCACGTGCCACCAGCACAGTGGATGTCTCACTTATGTCGTGAAAATATCACACTCCATGGACTTTCCTCATCGAAATAACATAGTATTTATTCCAGACATGAAAGTCCACACAAGATCTGAAGGAAAAGGATCTTTGGGTACCTTCATGTCGACTTCTGAAGCGAAGCGTGCAAGTTAATATTGGTTGTGCAAAAGTTACATTTTTGTGAACATTTCACACAGCGTATAATCTTGTGAAAAATTCACAAAATGTATAATCTTGTGAGAAATTCACAAGATGTATCATCTTGTGAAAAGTTCACAAGTTGTAAATCTTGTGAAAAATTCACAAGATGTATACTCTTGTAAAAAATTCACAAGCTGTATAATCTTGTGAAAAGTTCACAAGTTGTAAATCTTGTGAAAAATTCACAAGATGTATACTCTTGCAAAAAATTCACAAGATGTATAATCTTGTGGAAACATCACAAAATGTATAATCTTGTGAAGCATTATATCATCTTGTGGACAGTTCACAACATATATTATCTTGTGAACATTTCTGATTGTGTTATATCAATTGCATTAAATGTTCCATGGAAAGAAAGAGTAAAATATCATAATTCGAGCTTGCTCTGTAGCATATCCCTCCACTGTTCCTCCAAAACATTATCTTCAGCAATCATTGCTTCTGAATATTGGCGAGTGTTGTGCAGAAGAGAAACTAGATGAGTGTCCCATGCAAAGATCACACGTGCATGATCTAGAAATAGTCCATGATATATGGACTCCACAGTTTTGGTGCACTCTTCCCAAGTTGTCTTTGTAACAATGTGAGAAGCATGACTGCCTGTCACCAACTGTATGGGAAGCGTATTGGCGGTTGGATCCCATCCTAAAGAATATAACATATGGAATTGAGCCTGGCTGAAATGACAAAATACAATTATATGAATCAGAAAGTGCTTACCTGACTGGCTAAGGCCTAGTACATTTATAATCTTGGCATCTGTTGCCAGAGACCACATGAACATCTGCCGTACCTCATCAGCAATCCGCCTGAATTCTTCTTCGCAGCGGCAATATAATAGATAAGCCTGGATACCCCTCTGTGTATCCTCATCCACAGCCCAATTCTCATTTGGATGTGTTAGGTGTCCAAAGTTCCAGAAGATGTCTTCCAGTGATAAAGATTTAACTTCCTCATGTGTATAGTTTGTTATTGGTGTCTCTTCCGGATAGGAAGTATTGTACTTTACAATGAGATCATGATAGGTCTTCCATTTCTTTTGGAAGACTGTCTGTTTAGTTCTCATTAAAACCTTCATCCGTTGCTGCATCGAGGTACCTACAATCACAGGCGGGAACCAATGAATTTCAATTCACACCAGTTTCTCTACTCACAAACCTTTCACGCAAGTTTCTCTACTCACGAACCTGCCTCCCATTTTTTTCCTAATTCGACTATGCCAACCTTTGCCTCATAGAGGTTGTTCTTGGCCACTCTTATCTGCAACAACAGAAGACCTCTCTCATCTATTGTTGCAAAGAATAGTCAACTTGTGAAACAGTGAACTACATACAGCGATAATAGTACCACACCTTCGGCTTCTGGAATGTCTCTAAATTCGTTGCCTCCAAGATCTAATAGAATTCTTTCGATTTCTTCTTCTAGGAATTCAATATTTCCTGGTAAGCTTGCCAGTGTACGGGTTTCAGTGATGGTCCTGCGTCGACGGAGGCTGCGTAGACTGGCCTCTTTTGCTCTGAACATATTAATAACAACATATAAGCTACACAGAACAACAAGATGATAACAACGGTCGTACTTGGCCTCTCTCAGTTCCTCTTCATGTTCAATCAATTCCTCAAGTGTATCTTGCAGGTTTTTCATGTTTATATCCCCCATGACTTCTCCCTGAACTAGTTTTTGACGAGCCCATTGAGCTGCAAAATATTCGTGGTCATACCCGCGCTTGATTTCAAGCTCAACCAGTATCTGCCGTTTCTCCTCCCGCGTCTGTTGGGTTATTTCCAGCTTGTGACGGGACGAGGCAGCTGGGATCAACCAAAACAGTCTTTAGAACTCATTAGAATTTACACATGAAATCAAATATCTTCTCACCTGAATTTGTGCGTAAGATTTCATTCTCGTGGGAGGCTTTGAGATCCACTGCATCTAATCGATGCTGCTTTGTAGCATATCGATTAGCAGCAACTAATTTGCATAGCTTACACCAACATCTTTCACATCCCTCTCCGTCCGACAGGCCACATCCTTCATTCAGTCTTGGGTTGTAATCTAGCTGGCAGCTCCAGCTGTGTACATACGCGTGGAAAACACTTGTACCAAATTTCAACTGACCTCGACGTCTTTCTTCTGTGAACAGGTTATGCTACATCCAATGTTTGCAATGTAAAGTCAGTATCAAGCTCTTGAGATGACTTTGAATAGTAATGTAGATATTCAACTCTGACTAGACCCTTCTCGATGTTGCATCCAATGTCGTAGAGAAATAACACCTTTGAATCTGCTTCGTCCAACTGCTTGAGGAGCCAGTCAGTGAGAGAATGGGCAAAATATGATCTACACATACATACATAAAGACGTCAGTTGAATCAATATATGATTATGTATCAAGAAAGTCGTTTGGGAAGGTACTTTTCACCACTTTGGACTATATTCACAAAGGCCAATGCATGGTCATGTCGACAAACCATTGCCAGTAACCCTGTGTCGTCGCAGGCACGCCACGTGGCGGCACTCCGTGAATCATTGGCAGCAGTATGCATCTGCGTGCAAGGATCCTAAAGGAATGTCTTGGGTTTCATCAGTTTTACATATGAATATCAAGGTAATATACATAATTGCAACCTAGCTTACCGGGGTGTCATCCGCAGAGCTAGGATGTACATTTTCCCACTTATTGACCTGTGTTGGATGTAGAAAGAGAGTTGGATAACGAATCTCAATCTCTTTCACCTCAACACTGGCTGACATGTGTCGTCTTTGTTGAAAGTTACCATCAACACAGACTACATAGTCTGGTTCACCATTTTTCTTAGCATAAATATTCTCGCCAAAACAGCGTGGGCAATTGGCCCCTAGCTTTTCCTTTGGCGAAAGTTCCATTGCACGGGTACCAAGATCTTCTTTCACTTGAATCAAGCGTCGGTACGCATCTACTGCACAAGAAAACTGTCTTCCCCACCTCTGCAGCTGGTGACATCAACACCGGTATTAGTTTTCAGAATCAAGATTTGAGCACCAAGAATCATAGCACTTACCTTTTTTGTGATATCCTCTACAAATCCTAGGGCCACTCGGTGAAAAAAATCAAGTGCTTGAGCAAATGGATGTGTTCGAATACAGCAAAACCTCCAGAGGGCATCGTGTAGCCGGAGAAGTCTTAATGAGAAAGCAATTTCCGGCAGGACTGGAGATCCGCCGATGTAGCCCATTTGGATCAGCCGGACTTGGTCTGATTGGCACGTGCAGAACTCGACCGCTTGTGTAGTGTGTGCTGTCATGAAGAACAAAGATAGCTTTAATTCTGGGGTCATATAAAGTGATTTGAATGAACGTCCCTCACTTAAAATATCTACCAATTCAAGGTGCCTGATTCGTCTCTTCGCCGCTGAGCATCGACATTGAGTTTTTGAATCAAAATTCCAAGTTTCACCTTGACTCCAATCAACTGTGAGTAGCTTGCATTGCATGAACACCTTGAACATTGGTTCGAGTATGTTCTCCCATTGTTGTACCTCTCGGATTCGACGTCTTCGATTATAATCACCTGCCATTGGAGTGACCACACCGCCCGGATTTGAAGCAATTGACTGCTCAGAATCATCGGATTCTGTCCCTGAATCAGTATCGTCATAAGAAGGTGTGTTGGGCTGGTCGTAATCAATTCCAAAAAAACCTTCGTTCCCGTTGTTGTGCAAGCCTTCGTCCCCGTGTAGAACATGAGGATCCTCAGTTGCAGCCGTCGGTAGAGCAGGAACTGGCGGCTGGGTGAGTGCTTGAACAAGCAGGTCGCATTGTTTTACACAATATTCTTCTTCAGCTTCTTCCCATTCTGACAACTCCTTTGCCGATTGACTTGATTCTTGCCGAGGTTTGGATAAACGATTTACTGGAAGCAAATGATTTCCTTTTCTTCCAGGAGCCATTCTGATTGGTGTGCGAAGAAAAGAATCAAATGGGATAGGTTGTGTTTTCAGGTTCTGACTAGTAATGGCTAGATCAGATGATGCGAGAAATAGCCAGTGGTCTATATCTTTGTGATTTTCAAATCAATCACTTTTATTTACCACTTTAGGAAAATTATCTCATACTATTTGCGTAGTCTGATCAATTCATTTCTCCTGTCCCAATTAGTACTTGAATATTGAACCAATTCAACATGTGATAAATAGGGTTCAAAATGTTTGTCACCTCACTCACACGTTTGACATACATCTATCTTTCATTCCATCTATTCAATCTTTGAGTAGGTTTCAAACCTACTGTTCCAGATGCCAAGATGAATAAAAAGGTGTTTATGAACTTTCATGACTCAGATTAAAAACACTGTTATATCTGGAGGGTGATGTGAATAACGCACTGGAGCATTGTGAATATTTCTCACTATTGTGATATCTTCACAATAATGTGAAATCTTCACACTATTGTGTGAAGATTTCACAATGATGTAAAAAAGTAGCAAATCTGTGATCTTTTCACAATGATGGATGTAAAGATCTCACAACATTGTGATCTTTTCACCATTGCACCTGGAGGTGCTAAGCTCAGGCTGGTGTGCGGAGTTCACAATGTTGTTTGTACATATGTAGAAAATTCACAAAGTTGTGAATTTTCTCACATGCTCTTCTCAAAAAAGATGAAATTTAAGCGGAACATACTTGGAATCTCAACATTGTGTTTGTCCAAATTCAGTAAATCAAAGATGAATCAAGGGTCATACGATAATGTACTGGAGAAAAACCCAATTATAATAAGCAATAGTTACACTTTTCCCCCTTTGAAAAGGGTGTTAAGCTTTGCCTTCCTTTTCATTTCAGCCTTGACCTTGCGAGCTTCCTTTCTCATGCTCTCCCTTTCAACCATTATCGCCTCACTAGCAACAGCCTTGATTTCCTTGAATTCGGTCTCTTCCTCCAATGTTCTCACCCTGGACTTATGATATGCCTCCCATTCGGTTGGTTTCATCTTGTCACGTTCTTTTTCAACTATATTAATACGTTCAACCAACGACTTTGAAATCTGACATGATGTGCCAAAACGTGTGATTGCACACTTCGTTGGACTGATCTCATGGCCATGTTCATCATAAGTGATGGACTCAGCTGTATAATGTTCAACCTAAAAACAGTTGATCAGTAAGTTTGATGAGGATAAATGTTTATTTGATCCTCTTGCAGATCCTTACCTGAGTATCCCAAAGAGTCTCATAGATGCCATCACAACGATCATGGTCGACAACAATATCAAAGTCACCTAAGATAAATGAGCTGCCACATATCAAACCTTTATTCTCAGAGCCTTCCAGCTGGTAGGGTTTTCCAGTCTCGCGGTCAATGAGGCAGTTAATGCCAAATGCATAACGAGTATGGTCGTTGTCGGTGTGTGGTTCATTATAGAACCCATCACAAGATACTACCATGTTTGATGCAAACACCTTGCCGTTTGGAGTATGTTGCCATTCTTCATTGTCAAATCCAGGAGCATTAGTTGCTAGCCCCACTTGTAAATTCGTCTGGAAAATGGTGAATGATAAAGATCCAAAACGCTCGGCAAGAAAGTCGCGAAACCAATGGAATGTAGCCATTCGGATTTCATCGGCCAAGATACGATCTAAATAGCGACAAGTGAAGTCGCTCAAGTGATATGGGCCTTTTGGACAGGTGGGCAGTTAGCATTGTGAGCGCATCTTAGCGGATTGATGGCACTAACCAAGCGAGATACCTGGATCCGATCCCCCTCTCCAGCCGACAACCCCCATCCAACCCCAAAATTTCCCCTCCTCTTTAGGCTTTTGCACAGCCCCATTCGTCTCACATTTCCACCTCGCTCTTGCAACCTTGAAACTAATTGAGATAGAATGATCAAACTTGGATCGTATGAGAGGATCCATATCCTTGAATCTTGTGCACCGAACCACCATCAATAGCGAAAGATCCTCCGCGTTGATAACCGCCACCGTACCAAAATAGATCATGATGGGATCTTGATCGAATAAACAATAGTCGCTCTTCTTGCTCCATCGAAAAATAAAGACAGTATCTGGCGGCAGACCCAGCTCAACAGTTAGCCTTGCCTTTGTTTCGGCGCGTTTGGTGTGCTTGCGACGGTACACCCGCCCTAAGGTAAAGTAAGCGTTCCATCTCGCCGTATTACGCTTGATGGCCGAAGGTGACGTTTTTGACTTGTAGTTATCGTTAGTTGGGATTCCCGCCTTTTTCGCTCTTCTGTGACGTTTTTGGCGAGACATGTTGATCGCAGATAACTATTGTTGTAAGGCAATGGATTGTAGTAAGCATTATGAACAAATACGATTGAAATCAAACATAAAATGATTTGAAAGATGCATACATCTCTTTTATATGTCCTGTGCCCGATATATTAATCAAAGGAGGGGTAGAAGACCAACCAATCGTTTTATTTGTTAGATAAGACAAAACTAAGTTGAAAAGAGAAGTTGAAGGAGGTTTGTATAATAAAATGTGAAAAAAGGGTCGATTGAAGTTGATGGTAATGTTTAATGTTTATGTTGATTGATTTTAGAATCAGTTGTTGTTGAAGGGTGCTAGAATGATGGACTTGTGATCCTCCTAAGTGTTATGAATGATATGATAATCTTTGGAGAAAGTAATCTTAAGATCAATCTGAAAAAGAGGAAATAAAAAATAATTGATTGTTTAAATGTTGTTCTACGTGAATCGACCAGACTTCGATTCACGATCGAGTAAGTTGTTGTCCTAAACTAGAACATAAACAAAACAAATACAAAAAGTGATCAGTATGAATCAAGCAAGAGGACCATCAAATGAAGGACTTACTGATGAACGCCACGTCAGGGAAATGGGTGTCCAATTGAGTTTCCAAGTAAAGACGTCCAGTTGTCCTCAAAAGGTAAGTTAGCGAGTCGGATGACTGGGAGGTTCGTAGCGGGAGGCCTACAACACTCCAGTCAAACAACCACGACTGAACTTATAAGCTGCTGATTGATGATGTCCGAGGTGTGTTGATAGGAGGTGTCGAAAGGTGGTTGCTTGAATCTGACGATGTCCGATGTCAAGCAACGTGTGGTTTGGCGATCCAGCAGTTGAAATCAGCTGGATCGGTTTTGGCCCTGTTTGGCCCCGCTTTAGCAACAGCATGTACTGGTACTATACGTACCGGTACACGCTGTAGTGGACTAGGTCTAAGGTGGTGACAATTGGTAGTCACGGACCTCGCTTTTAAGCCCAGGAAAACCTAACCTGGATAAGTACATACATTATGTACTTATCTGAGGGATGGGATACCCATATCCCATGATGTGGTCAAGACGTGCTACAGGCTGAACATTGGCATCTTGTGAGGTACAAAAGTGCTATTTGTCATCCTCATTGATAACAAATAGCAGCTCATTAACATGAGCACTTGGTGATTTGGTGGGTGGTGAAAAAGAGCAGTTGCGTGAAGTGCAAGGACTTGTGTAGTGATGACTGGTTGTAATTGAAATTATTGTGATTTTGTGATTTTGTGATTTTGTGAGATTGTGAGTTTGTGAGATTGTGAGATTGTGAGATTGCATTCTGGCAAGTCATTCACGTTATTTGACAATATGGCTTATCCACACCATTGAGATTGTGGAACCTCAAGCAACCTTCATTGAAAACAAGTGATTAATCATGTTTCCTGTCTACATCAAAAGGAAAAGTAAAACAAAGGCAGTTATGAAGAATGTTATGAAGAATCATACCTTAACCAAAGGACTGCAGATTGGTGCCACAACTCTACCGGGACTGGTTGCAAGAACTTTGATATTTTATCAAAGTAATCAGTGGTCAGACACTGGTCAAATTACACACATATAAGGTGTTGCAGCATTGTATTCTCCCCACAGTGACAGGATATCCATGCATAGGATCCTTGTCACCGTGTTAAGTATCCTTTTCCACTAATATGTTGATCATTCATGATTAGGTCCACTTTAACATATGACAAGGAGGCATGGTGCTTCATTGTAAATAGCTAATTGAAAGTTATACCACAAGTAATACTTCAATGTAAGTTAGGTGACCACTCTGCATGAAGGTACTGGTATGACATATTGGTGACAAAATTGGGTATCCTGACCCCCAAAAAAAAAAAAAAAAAAAGTTGACCCAATGATTTCTAAATGCAATACAATCATGTGACAAGTTTGATTTTTGCATTTGAACCAAAACTGCAAAAGTTTTATTTGGACATTTGACCGTTGTAAATAGGGTCAAATATCAGAAAATGAGCCACATTTGAAGGAAAAAAATACTCAGGTATTGCAAGTACATGAGTGTGTCATGCTGTTATGCAGTGCCTTTTGAAAACATGTTACACTTTACATTTTGAACCAAAACTGCAAAAGTTTTGTAAGGTCCATGTGTTCTCAAAAATGCTTGTCACAGCATTTCTGATACCCCTAAAGGGGTCATAAGCGCAAGTAGCTATGGCGTGAGAGTGTAATATGCATAAGTATATTATACTCCTATGCAGTGCCTTTTGAAAACATGTTATACTTTACATTTTGAACCAAAACTGCAAAAGTTTTGTAAGGTCCATGTGTTCTCAGAAATGCTTGTCACAGCATGTCTGATACCCCTAAAGGGGTCATAAGCGCAAGTAGCTATGGCGTGAGAGTGTAATATGCATAAGTATATTATACTCCTATGCAGTGCCTTTTGAAAACATGTTATACTTTACATTTTGAACCAAAACTGAAAAAGTTTTGTAAGGTCCATGTGTTCTCAGAAATGCTTGTCACAGCATTTCTGATACCCCTAAAGGGGCCATAAGCGCAAGTAGCTATGGCGTGAGAGTGTAATATGCATAAGTATATTATACTCCTATGCAGTGCCTTTTGAAAACATGTTATACTTTACATTTTGAACAAAAACTGCAAAAGTTTTGTAAGGTCCATGTGTTCTCAAAAATGCTTGTCACAGCATGTCTGATACACCTAAAGGGGCCATAAGCGCAAGTAGCTATGGCGTGAGAGTGTAATGTGCAAGAGTATAGTATACTCTCCTACGTGTTCCACTTTTAATTGGGAAACAAAACTACATATTGCTTATTAGGACAATGTGTGAAAATCCTACTACGACATACACAAAATCCATGTGCTGAAGGGACCATCAGTGCATGCAGCCTTGCACTGAGGGGGTACCGCGTATGTTCCTAAAAGACTGACTGGTCCTGATCTGTTTGAGCTTGAAATCAAGCTGCAAAGTGTGGCCAAATATGAGAGTTGTAAACTCTGGAAGGGGTAATCAATTCAATAAGAACTGGCTTGAAGGTACCGTGTGCGTAAATTATACTCCCATCAATGAATTCAACATGTTTTTCTTTTGAGATTGAAACAATACTGCAAACACGTAATGGCATCATGTGATTCAGTTTCCTAACTGCTATGGCACTAGGAACTCGTGATGGAGCTATATATCTGGAGTCAAAATAAGATCAAATAATGAGATAACATAAACAACATAACATTTCACTTATAAAACATTTCCCACTCCTTTTGTCAATTCAAAAGGAGATAACATAAATAAGATAACACTTTGATTCAACAATAATAAGATAAAATTTTGATTCAACGATCAATTGTTCACAATTTCCATTCATGACTCTTCATCACTGTCACTCTCTACCTCTTCAGTAGAGGTTTCACTACCTTCTTTGTTATCGCCTTCTTTTCTCTCTCCTTTTCGGGCTCCTTTTTGTGCAGTAGAATCAGAGATAGCCAGAACATTCTCTAAATTGCAAGGGGTAGTTCCCAAGGCTGCCTTAATCTCATCCGCGTCTAAAGCTACCGGCTCGCCTATGGTTTCCTCAGTACCAACCTTGAGCTTAATCAAGCAAAACAGTCCATCCTCAATATCATTGATCCACTCGAGCCTTATTGCCAATTTCATTTTCTTGAATCCAACAATGAGTTTTTCGTTGGTTATTCTGGAACCTTCAGACATCGTAACTGCCACGGGCAAGGACATTACTCTTAATTCTGCCACAGGATCAGCAGTCTGTGGGAAACCCTGTTTGGGTAAGTAACCCAGCGTTTTAACTGAAATTGGACATAATCAGAACATTGAGAGAGATGAAAATAAAATAACAAATGGTATTTGGAAAACCTTACGAGTGAGAGCTGCCAGAAGACGTCCTAAATCAACTTTGATCTTGTCACTAGGCTGTTGCTTATCGCTTCTTTGGCGTTTTTTGGTTTTGGAGTTGGGATTGTTGACAGCAGCAATGGCCTTTGCCATTGATTCGCCTTGAGAGTATGTAGCAAAGACCGCAGCAAGACTCATAGTTTTGTTGGCCCAAGTTGCTACCGCTGGATGAGTTGTATACTCCTCGAGCCACCCCAGATCAGTGGAGTTATTTGGAGTGACAGTGCTTGTTGCAACCAGGTAGTAGGCAAAGTCCAACCGATTGGCTTCACAAGCAAGCTACAAACATAACAAAACATGAGTGTGCGGGATATTTCACAAGGCTAGAATCCAGTTGGAGATTCAACCGACCTGATGAGCTATCTTTTCAATAACATTCTTAGACTTGCGTTGGAGTTGTGAAGTTGAAGACCCTGATGAAGGCTTTTGTAATTCTTTCTTGACCTTCTCCAAATCAACCAAACGTTCGTATAAAGGGCGATAAAGTTCGTCTTCTTCAATAGTGAGTTTGTGAACATTTGGAACGGGTACAAATGAGTCACCACGGTCGTCTTCTTTTTCTTCTTCATCATCATCGCTGTCCTTCTCATCCGGGTCTAAAGCAATTGGGTTTGGAACACCAGATAGAGCGAAGAAG